CAGGATAGGTCAGAAATGGGGTAACTTAGAATTGATTACATTTTGGTGGTCATCCGGATCCAATTAATTAATTAAATTTTCCACAGTGAGAGAATTGAGCTGCCTTGGCGGAAGTCTGCGCTCTCCGAGTGCTCTAGTTAACAATGTTATGTTTTTCTTTAGTGTTCAAAATCGTGCGACTATGGTGTGCAGGAGAGAGCCGTACATTGCAGACAAGTGAAGAGACTAGGCCAGGTAAGTTATACTATATTTATATATTTTACATATATATAATAATTAATATAATATTATAATATTAATTAATTAATAATATATTTATAATAAATATGTAATAATTACTTGATATACTTAATATATCACCAAGCATAAATAAACCAACCGAAATGAAAATACCAAACTAAGCTTTTTAATAACGATTCTATTAATGACTAGGTGTAGTGTGTGTATGATATTACGAATTTCCGAACACAGCTGCACGAGAGCCTCAAACAACGTAGACAGTTTTGATCAAAGAGTTAATAGTTTATTGTTCCAGCGGGTTATACCTATAATATTATATAACTTGCTCAAAATTTATTCTTGGTCATTAACGTAACCGATGATTCTCTCACTAGGTCGTGTTCCTGCCTCCTGACTCCTGCCCGACTGAGAAACCCACAAGCCTACAAGCTTGCTTCTTGGATAGTTGCCCGGGAAAGACAACGAGCTATTTCACTACAACTCCTGCGACTTATATCCAATCCGGTGCGAAACCGAACGCAAATGTTATCTTTGCTAGAAACTAACTCTGGTCTATGATTACACCTCGTGGCTATAACCAAAGTGTGCTATATTTCCTGTTTTATTAGGTTATTTGGTTGAGCAGGTAAGATATTGAATTACCCGTGCAGCAACACTACGCGCTGGTTATTTTTATCACATATATCTTGTAATTGTCGTTGGGTAGAATTACGACAAATATAATAGTGGAACTTAATACTGGAAACATTTTGACTGCAGGACACATGAAGAAGTTGATTTTGAAAGCAAAAGGCCACGCCATTATTCTCGAGGGCACTAACGTAAAGATAAAGTGTCCTGGAAAGAAAGGTCACGATGACGTTTCGTGGGCAAAGAATGGCATTGTCATTCGAACTCTAAGCCACGTCAGGATCTCTAAAAACGGTAACTAAAAGTACTTTGCCTATGTGATTTCTCTATCTCGCTTTCTGTCACTATATATATATATATATATATATATATATAATAATATATATATATTTATATATATATACATAGGTGTGTAATCCGCATAATATACACATCAAAGATATGTAGGTTCTTCTACGAGATTACGGGATGATTTTTACTGTCCGTCTTGCTGGCGTCTGCGCATATATGCTTGCTCCACTCACTCCCAGGCACGGGAGTATACTACCAGCACGCGCCATGCTTGTGATTTTATTTATATTAGGCGCGTTCACACTGGCGGGAATTAGCGGGATGCAAATCTCGGTTTTTGCATCGCGATCGAGTGAACGCAAAAATCTCACTAAGTATCGCGATCAGCATCGCGCTGCAAATCGCACTTTTGACTGCGATTATTTGGAATTAGCGAGATTAATTGCACCGCGGCGTGTGTGTGAACGCTCGCGCAAATAATCCCGGTATTTTCTATCCCATCATTCCAAGCGATCGTATCAACATCCGGCAGTGAGCATGCGCACTTCGATTTATAGAGTTATCCCGCTCGGCGATTAGCGAGATATTTCCACCTGTGTGAACAACGACACAATTATCTCGGTATTTCCATCGCGATTAGCATCGCGGTTTTTCTTGTGTGTGAACACGCCTATTGCGTGTGATTCAATCATGTATTCATTGCGCAGATTCTAGTCCGTGGTGAGTGCAATTCACGCGTTACTCTTCAGGCGTGCGATCATTCACAAGGTGCACTCATGTCGTTAGTAGACAGGTACCTTTTTGATTTCCACCCAGGGGCTTCTTCTTCTTCTTTTTCTTCTTTGTCGTAGTCTCTCGCGGATGGTACACGCTGAGACGTCAGCTATGGGCTGACCTTCCTGTTGATGATTCTTCTCCACCTTCCTCAATCGGCCGTATCATCCACCGTTACTCTAATCCACCCTCCATCTAATTCTATTTCCACCCAGGTGCGCTGCGCATCAAATCTGCGACTAAACACGACGCTGGTGAGTACACGTGCATAGCCGGAAGCAAGCGTCGCCACATCACGCTCAACTTTAGAACCGTGGACGTCGACGGAGAAGGTAAACTAACAACAGTGACGTCAGCGCCATGACGTCAGCATCGATCGATCGCTAATGCAAACATTGGCGTGGGCGCTTGCGTAGCAGCTCCGAACCGTACTAATGAAATTTATCCCGCGTGCATACGAAACATAATAACAATTACGCAATTAGGTAATTATGATAATTAAATTTGCACGGCGAGCATATTAAAATAACAATAATTGTACTAACTAAACACAGTAGTCATATAGCAGTGCATATTTTAGTGGCTATGATCGGTAATAAAAATTGTAATTTGGGCAAGTGATACTATTTAAAAAATTAGGAAAACGGAAAGAATTATTTGTCTCTGATGGTAAATACTTCATTTGTTTGCTCAATTTTATTTTTTTTCACGACAGGAAAGATCAAGAACGTTACATACAACTCGAAAACGTTGAATGCTAACAGGACTATGATAAATGAAAATATCATTCCCACCATTCACAACGAGAGAATCGATGTAACTGAACCTAATGAAATTCTCGAAGACAAGGATAGCTACAGCAGGTGAGCTCCTGACATGTCAAAATCTCATGAAACTAGCCATGGAGTCTTAATAGTTTGGGTTTGTAATGATTTTAGTAGGTTCTTTTCACACGTTTACATAAATAGTTATTGTAACAGAATTATTCAAATTCCAATAGCATTGACATGAAACTCATCAATGTTTCTTTCCAATTCAAAAAACAGTTTTTTCATTTTTAGCTTGCCTTGACATCGTCAAGATGAGCTATTGCCATGGGGTGTCGTCCGTCTGTCCGTCCGTCCGTCCGTCCGTCCGTCCGTCAACATTTGGCTACGGTCAATGATAACTCAATAACCGCTTGACCCACATGTTTCAAATTGCTTATAGTTGTTACTCCTATGGGAGAAGTTTGAACGTCCTATTTTGGAGCACGCCAGTCGACCTACTTTCGAGCCATGTCCACTTTTTTTTAGCAGAAATGGAAATGGCCATAAGTCAGTTCAGGTTTAACGGATTTTGCTCATTTCTGGTATGTGAATGAATAAGAACTGGCCCCAAAACATATCATACGGGTATTTTGTTTGTTTTTTTAATTATGCAAATTAGGTAGATTTTAAAGGTCCTATTTTGGAGCACGCCAGTCAACCTACTTTCAAGCCACGCCCATTTTTTGGCAAAAATGAAAATGGCCATCTAGATTCATTCAATTTTGTTAAATTTTGGTTTATGAATGTGTAAGATTATCCCCAAATCAGTTGTTACTCCTATGGGAGAGAGGACAATGTCCTCTTACGTTTATATCGTCTAACTGGTTAACAACTACAATCATACCTATATACGTGTAATATTGCGTTTTAGATACTTCGTTACAGTAATTTGACTGGAATATTTTATTGTTTTTATTTGCGCGATATTCGAAAACCAAAATGGCGATCATTTAGGCGTAGCGCCATCTCTCGTTAAGATTTCAGACTTTATTTTCGCATCAAATTTATGTTATCAAATTAGACATTTATTTTCGCATCAAAACTTATGCATATTATTATCAAGAGTATATAATGGGAGATATGCCATATAATGGGAGTTACTCATATATACTCTTGCTTTATATATCCCCCCCTCCCTCTTCTATCACACCCAAGGTGAGCTACAGTGTCATTGACACTTTTATTCTTAATGTTGCTCTTAATTCATGTTTAAAAAGGGGTGAATCATCATAAGCATTATACTATAGGCCCTATTTTTGAGATTAATGTATCATACTGTGATCATTCTGTGATTTCCCATAAAGCTGGGTTTACACTACCAACTTCGCAATTTCGCAACTGACAATCGGCAGTGTAAACGCAGAAATTGCGCGTCCAACCGATCGATAGCAACTAGTTGGGAGATTAGAACATGTTCTAACAATTTCGCGAACTCGGAGTTGGCGAGTTGGACGTTTTTTGTCAGTATGATATCGTACGTGATTCAGAACGAGATGAGACGGAACTAGAGAGAGAAAAGCGGTACAACGAAAGCTTCACTGTGAGATTTTATGTGAGATATCAACCTGGTATCTGTGTGTTGGATTTAGTAAACCGTGGTGTATGTATGAATAATGCTTGTATCGCTGTGAGTACATATAAGACAGTGAGCAACAGGTGAGAGATAGGGGAAGAGAGGGGGAGGGAAAGAGTGAGAGCGAGAAAGAAAGAGAGAGAGAGAGAGAGAGAGAGACCGAAAGAAGAGAGAGAGAGAGAGAGAGAGAGAGAGGACGGCGACGAGAGAGAGAGAGAGAGATATATAGTAAGAAGAGAGAGAGAGAGAGAGAGAGAGAGAGAGAGAGAGAGAGAGAGAGAGAGAGAGAGAGACGAGTAACGTACGTACCGT